TCTGGCTCCCGCAGGAGGAGGAGTTCGAGCGCCACGTTTGCGAGGACCTGGGGCCGCTGCAGTTCGTGAAGCTGCGCAAATACCACTCCCTGGTGGACGACGCGTGGTTCTGCGACCGCATCACCGTGCAGGGGCCCGGAGACCGCGCGGAGGCCACCTTCCCGTGCTACCGCTGGGTGCAGGGCCAGGACGTGCTGAGCCTGCCCGAGGGCACCGGTGAGGAGCAGGGCGGGGCCGGCGCCTTGGGAAATGCTAGGGGTGAGCGGGTAGCGGAATAGCGCTGAGCAGTCGGGGGAACTAAAAATAGGAGAGCTCTAGACATTAAGTTTTGAGAACCAGGATGTGTGAAGGGCATAAAAAAGTTAGGAAGTCCTGATTTGCACAGGACATGGCAGGCTGTTAGGAGGACTCAGAGTGAGTGATCTGAAGTGCCTCTTCCAAGGAGGTGAGGGGCGTGGCACACTCATGGAAAACTGAAGAACCAGAGTAAAAGCAGAAAGATGTCTACGTGAAGTGGGACACGGTAAGGCAGGGCAGGTGAGGGTAGCACTAGGGATGGGAGGTGGGGGGCTCCCCCGCTTCTAGGAGACCTCGAGGGAAACATGATCCTCAGAGCTGGAAGTTGGAAAAGCATGGGAGACAGTTGTAAGGAGTAAGGGAGCACAGAGCTGCTGGTGGGATAAACGAAATCTAGGATCTGTTACCTTAGAAATAAGTAGGAGAGACACTTGGGGGCAAGGGCAGGTAAGAATGGAAACAGGTGTTTTGCAGGTACACGCAAGTATAATTACAGAGGAGGGCAGCAACATGTCAGGCTAAGAAATAATGTGTGTGATGTTGAGGCTAGATGAGAGGAAGCCAGGTAAAGGTAGCACTAAGAATCCTTTTCCTGCTCTTTAGGTGAGAGTGTCCATGTCAGGGTGGTACACATAAGCATGTCTTCTTCCAAGGGAGGGGCGGCGGGGGGGGGAAGGGGTGTGGAGTGTTGAACTGGAGATATGTCATTTTGGAAGACAGGTGGTGTGGGCTGGAGAAGACCTGGGCAAATGAGATTCACGAAGGTAATATGGGATGAGGTAGGATAGGTGTGGACAGTTCAGGTGATTAAGAATGAAATTCCTAAATAATGAAGAATAGGGACAGATATAGAGATTTGGGTTCAGGCTTAAGAAAAGGTATCAAACATGGTATTTTTGTCTTGGGACAAATCTAAGATCTGAAATACGAAGATCAAGAAAAGAAGTGGAACACAGATTAAATAAATGACTAGGAGATTAATGAGGACAGATACAGAAAAGTCAAGAGAGTATGATGCGGAGGGGGGAAGTGCAGTGGACTATGGTGATGGCACACGGGTGATTTGGTGATGGGAAGCCCATGGGGATTACAACTGAGATGGAAAAAAAGCACAAAATGATGTAAAAATAAACTTTATATTATTTTTAAAAAAGTGTATGATGTACTTAAGAAATAGGAGAGTGGACAAAGCCAGGGGGTGGAGTGTAAGACTGGGTAAAGCAGTAAAGTCAATCCCCTTCATGTCTCTCAAGCCCGCCTGGCAGGAAACACCTTGGACGTGTTCCAGATGCATCGAGAGAAGGAACTGAAGGAAAGACAACAGATCTACCGGTGACCAAACACCCATAACCTCTCTCCCAATTGTTACACCCTTCTCGGACAACTTGGCTTCTATGTTCTACTAACTGTCCCTATCTCCTAGCTGGGCCACCTGGAAGGAAGGGTTACCCTTGACAATAGCTGCAAACAGTACAGATGAGCTACCTCTAAACGTGAGGTTCCACGAACTTAAGAAACTTGACTTTGAATGGTCCAAGAAAATTGGGTAAGGAAATGGTCAGAGGGTGGCCAGAGTCAATTCAGAAATGGGTAGGATTTGGTAAATTGGTGGTTTAATCCTTGATATCTGTTTTTTAGGGTTGTGGATATTGTCGTCAAACATATTTACCGTATCCTGGGCTCCTGGAACAAGCTGGAGGATTTTGATTATATTTTCCCTAGTGGAAAAAGTGTCCTGGCTGGTCAGTGGTTACCCCCATTTTCCTTAACACCTTAGACGGTCCCTTTTAAAGACTTGTCTTTCACTTTCTGTGGTCCTCAATACTCCCTGTCAATGAAGAACTTATCCAGCCCGATGAATCACAGAGGTCTCAAAAATGAAAAGATGGGCTGGATATGGGATGGTCATATTACTGAATCTGGGGATTTAGTCTGGAAGAGAGGGTATCATTGTCAATCTCCTGTATCAATACCCCAACCCAACCCCACAGACAAGGTCCATCAGCACTGGCGGGAGGATACGCTTTTCGGCTACCAGTTCCTCAACGGTGTCAACCCCATGCTGTTGAGACGCTCCACCTCTCTGCCCTCCAGGCTGGTGCTGCCCCCTGGGATGGAGGAACTTCGGGCTCAGTTAGAGAAAGAACTGCAGGTACCCCCTCCCACCTTGCCTTGCCCTCTCCTCATATGTGGGGAGGAGATTCTATGTGGGGAGTGGCCAAAGATAAGTCAGGGGAGGGAGGCTGCTATAACAGGAAAACTAGAGATATGAAGTATAGAGTAAACTGGGAGACTGGGGGTGGGGGTGGGGGTGGGTCCAGGTGGAGGCAACAAGAAATTCAGGTCTGATGGAAAAAGAGCCTTGGACACTCCACAAGGGGGTTGCTTAGCTTGTCTGTGGTTCAGAGTGGATTGGGAATTTGGTCTTAAACTGCCATTGTCAGAATGAATTACCAGTTTCTGGGGCAGATTTCACTCATTTTGCCTCTTTCCTCACATAAGAGGAGAGGACTTGGGCTCAATGCTCTGGGTGCTTCCCTGTTTCATGTCACCAGGACTCTGCCTTGATGGGGAGAATGGTGAGAAAATAGACTCTGTCTTTGCCCTCCCTCTGGAGCTCGACTCTGACCTTGAGCTATACATAACTCCTCCTTCCCCAGCAAGGCTCCCTCTTTGAGGCTGACTTCACCATTCTCGATGGGCTTCCAACCACTGTGATCCGCGGAGAGCAGCAGTACCTGGCCGCCCCCCTCGTCATGCTGAAGCTGGAACCCGATGGGAAGCTGCTACCCATGGTCATCCAGGTCGGGTGCCCTGGGCGTCCCCTGCCAACACTGTTCTCTGTCCACCCCAGTCTTTCCCTGGGAACTAGGAGTGTTAACTCATGTCCCATGTTACTCAGTGAGCTCTGACCTTGTCCCTAAGCACCCTTTACTTCTGCTCAGCTGGAATAACTTGTGGAGGGTGATGCTGTCCTCTGCTGGCTCTCACCTTAATGCTACTCAACCTTTTAGTGACCTTTAGATTTGTTTAGCTTCCTTCTTCCTTAAACCTCTTTTCTTCCTTAGCTTTACTGGCTTTTCTCACCTCCTGTTCTTGGTTAATCCCCCCCCCCCCCCCCGTATAGCTCAGATGTCATCATGTCTCTTCCAAAGCACTGTTAGGGCTTCCTGTCGGGACCCTCTGTTTCTCACTCCTACATTGAGGGCAACCATCAGGGCACTGGCAGTTCCACAGCTACTGGGGTTCTCGAGCCTCCAACTAGGTTCCAGCCCCCTGGAAGGCAGTACATTTACTTGGTCATCTCTGACCTCCCCCTCCCACCCCCTCCACCCCCCAGAATGCTGAGCACAGTAGCTTACATATGATGAGAGATCAAGGAGTGTTTAATTCCTCTTTTTACAGCTCCAGCCTCCCAGCCCTAGTCTCCCCACCCCAACATTGTTCCTGCCCTCAGATCCCCCACTTGCTTGGCTCCTGGCAAAGTGCTGGGTCCGAAATTCAGATTTTTTCATGCATGTGCTCCGGTATCATCTTCTAAACACTCATCTGGTGGCTGAGGTCATCGCTGTCTCCACCATGAGGTGCCTCTCGGAACTTCACCCCATCTTTAAGGTACCTCCTCTACCTGCCAGGTACAGCATTCTCAGACCTCAGAGAGAGGAAACAACCCAACAGCTGTCTAGGATTTTTAAAGTCAAAGCCATGTGACTGAAAACATGTAAACATAGTTTGTGCTAATTCAGTAGACATCCATGTTATTGCAGCAAGAGTTCCCATCTCTCCTGTTAAGTAACTTAGCGCTTACTCAGCACACAGTCTGCTCTGTGTGCTCTGAAATCCTCTAGCAATGACTCTGGGTATAAAGGAATATAATTTGATATTGATTCAGATTTAAGAGGTTTACTGTATAGTTGGGATAGAAGTTTAAGAATCAGCCACATAATGATATCTGGAAATGGAGCTTGAAATCAATGGAGAAAGTAGTAAGCTCTGTAATGTTGATGGAGACTGTTTCCACACAACTTGGGAGTCATAAAGTAGAAGAGATAGGGCACAGAGAACAGGCCAGCAAATTAAGCTCCGCGAAGACTGCATTACATGGTGGTTACAAGAATAGAAAAGAAAATGCAGACACTTTGCCATGGGGGGAAGTCATGGATGCCCCATGCCCAGGTACAAGAGTAAAGAGCAATATCAGGGTCTAAGCTGCTGCCACTACCAGGGCCATGGGTAAGAGTTGGGGTCATGACCCGGAAGTTCAGGGATTTTATGAACAGTGAATCCAGTATGACTTGGTAGACAAGTGCCTGTTTTTAAAATATCTTCAAAATTTGATGACACTTTACATGCAACAGAAGCAAAAATACCACAAGCTTATGAACCAGAATAACTGTTTGAAATATTATAGCTGGGGAAGGCCACTGTGAAGTTCCAGATGAGATGTTCAGTTTTAGGTACATGGCGTTTAAAGTGTTAGCAAGATAGGTAAGTGAGTCCCTACCAAGTTAGGTTTCTTTTGGGGACTCTCACCTCCTCTCCAAGGCCTGTCATTTATCATTGTGGTTCCTCTTTGGATTTGGTTAACTTTCATCTTCTTCCTACCTTAATGGCTAAGCCTACTTATACTTTTCAAAATCCTTTACTACTTCAGTCCTCACCATTCATCCTAACAACTTTATCCCATCGCAAGTGGCTGAGTTGTTATTAGGACAGTGAGGAGGGCAAAGCCCCCATGTTTCACAGAAGTCAACTGTGTAGGCTTTGGATTCAGACTTCTGGGTTTGAACCCCAAATTCTTACCAGACATGTGCTCAGAGTCCTCTCTGAATGGGAGTAACAGGCTGCCCGTCACAGAGCTGATAAGGAATAATAGCAGTGTGACACAGGCTACCGGCATTAAGAAAAATAGATCTTAGTCCTGTTTCTTTGTCCTCTGGTATGGCCTCTTCTCGTGTGGGTTTAGAGCTTTCTATGCCACTCAGCATCTTTCATGAACTTTCTGAAGTTTCAGGTATAATACCTTGGTATGAAGGGTATCATTTGGGCCCTTCCCTCTGTCCCACACTAACAACTCAAATTCCAAAACTGCCTGAACCTTGCAACTCAATAAATGGAATTTTCGATATATGGAATTGAAACAAAGTTGTCACAGACAAAAGGAAATGCATGTGAAGATCAGATAACCTTTTCTAATCCTAAAGGAAAGCAGGATAGAGGGTGTCTAATAGGGTGGTGATAAAGAGGACAGAGTAATATGGCTCCCCTACTTCTGATACCAGTTACCTATGCTCCACCACCTTCACCCACAAAAAAAAAAAAAAGAAAAAGAAAAAAGAAAAAATGACTGGAGGTTTCAGGACCAGCATAAAAAATGAATAAGAAGGCTAGTTTAAACTATAAGAATGTATATGATAGAAGTTATTTTTAAAAACCAAAAGTTAAAGGGCACCTATAGTCATGATGGGAAATATTAAAGTAAGTGATAACAGTTACTATCCAAAGACTTCTGTGTGCGAGGCATTGTGCTAAAACTCTTCATGCCTAAGTATGACCGTAACAAGTAAGATCACAGGCTGTATTACCTGTCCCTATTGTCAGATGAAGAGATGGACCCTCATCTTAAGTGTCTAAGTTGATTGCATCAAGTGTCAAAATATCAAGTCAAGTTTCAAAGTGGGTGCCGAGTGCAATCATGGTGGGTCTGGATGCAGCGCTGAGTCAGAGGAGAGACTCAGAGCTTGAGAGTGAGAGAGCAGAGAAGCAGGAGAGCGACTGGCAGGGAGGGAAACACCTAGGGAGAGAAGGTGCCACCCCTGAACACACACACACACACACACACACACACACGGAAAGCCCAGGCACGGCCCCCATTACCCACCCTCCTTGCTCCATCCCAGCTCCTGATGCCGCACACCCGCTACACCATGGAAATCAACACCCAGGCTCGGACATCACTCATTTCAGATGGAGGCATATTTGATCAAGTAAGGAGGGAACGGGGTGTGGGCTGCTGCATCACTCAGTTGTCTGGGGCCTCCTGCTGCGTTCAAGACCCCAGGCCAACCTGGGTGATTGTCCTTAGACCCCACAAGCACCTCCCTTTCTACCCCCGTCTTTAAATGTGAAAACCCCACACCTGAACCCCTCATATAGTATGCCTGTGTTCTCCCCTCAAGACTGCTCCTCTCTTTACCCAGACGGTGAGCCTAGGCGGAGTGGGCTACATACAGCTGCTCCGGCGGTCCTTGGCTCAGATGACCTACCGCTCCCTCTGCCCTCCGCATGATCTGGCTGACCGGGGCCTGCTGGGGATCCCCAAAGCTCACTATGTCCATGATGCTTTACGCCTCTGGGAGATCATTGCCCGGTGGGTGAGAGTGGGGCTAGCATTGGAGAGGTCTGGGGAGGGGGCGAGCGGGGTTCTGGCCCAAGGTCAGTGCGGGACAGAATGAACATAGACATTGCAAGGTCCAGACGGAAGAGCTGAGATTCGGTCCTAGGGAGATGGCGCGAGCGAGGAGTCAGTGGGGAGGGCCTGAAAGTAGGCGGGCCGGAGTGGAAGTGCAGGCTGGTAAGCTGTGAGTGATCACCATGGGAACTGTGGAATCAGGATTTCTTTGGGAAAGGTACAGAATTCTTAAAGTGGGTGGCACACATTTCCTTCCTTCTTATGCTAGAGTTCAGAAAGAGTTAGAGATGGCTCAAAAATATAAGTTTTATAAGCTCTACAGTGAGAATCAACTGGGTAGAGGCCACAGAAAAGGAGCAGAGTGGGAGGCTTTAGTCTTCGACTCGCCAGAGGCTCACTCCCTTCTCGGGGCAGGTACGTGGAGGGGATCGTCCCTCTCTTCTACCACGGGGACGATGTCGTGAGCGATGACACTGAGCTGCAGGCCTGGTATCGGGAGATCACTGAGATGGGGCTGTGCCAGGCCCAGGACCGAGGTAGGACCCCTCTCCAGAGCTGGCAGTGCCTCAAAGACTGCCCAGAGCCCCTTTTCAGCCCTGCCCTTCTGAGACATGACCCCAACCCTTCGCCCCACCCTCGTCTCCACAGATGAAGCACCGGAATCCCACTCCTGCCTCCTTAGACAATTCTTGATATCCAGATTGTCTTCCTCCCAGGCCCTGGCGGCCAACCTTTCCTTCCGTCCCCCACCCCCATCACTGCTGCCCCAGCCTAAGCTGCTATTGGCCACAATCGACCAGGACCACGGCCACAGAGGGTTTCTTTCCAGTTCTTGCTTCCCCCCAGACTACAGCTCCAATTCAATCCAACCCTTAGTCACAGATGCTCCTCATCAACCATTGCATGAAACACAGCCCAGGTCTACCACCAGTGAGGAATCGGCCCTGTCCTTTCTAGGCCTCATATTCTCTCTTCATTGCTGTCTACTTGGTTAAAAATGGGGGTGTTATTCCATGATGACCCCCACCCCGGTTTTCCTCCCTTTTCCTCCTGCCTGCTACTGTGTAGCACACACAGAAAGGCCAGGCACGCTGCCCCCTCGCCTCAGTGCAAGTTATGAGACGCAATCTCAGTGCTCTGTGTGTTTCGAATCAACCACAAACTCAGTGCCCTGGTCCTTGGGACTCAGCTTCTTCGGCCAAACTGCCTTGCTAGGATCTGATGTCTTAATTCCCCCACCCATGTTTTCATCTATCAGGAAGAACTAGCCTCCCTGAGCAAGCTGAGGTTCATGCTTCTCTCTGAAGCACACATGGCCAGCCTGGCCTCTTTTGATAGTCCTGCAGCTAGTGTTCCCTTACTCTTCACACCAGTACTCTGAATCCTATCGTCTTATGTGGGATTAGCTTGGGGCTGTTGTGACCAGCCCTGAGGAGGCCTGGCTCGTGAGCCTGGCCCCTCTTGAAGATTGGAGACTTACTTTGAGGTATCCACCCAACACCAGACTTCTGGGACCAAAATTCCTGTACTGCTCCTCAGTTCTGGCCCACTGTCTTCCATGCTCTCTCTTACTTGCTTTTCCTCATGAAATAGCCGCATTAGAGTACTTATAATACACAGTTGTTTATGAGCTTTAACCTCTCATTACTTAGAGTTCAGAATTCATGGATCTTTCTCACACTTCTCTGTTACCATTTTCTTATCACCCTCAATAAAAGTGCTAAGAATTCCTCTTGCCAACTTGGGACCTCATAAAAGCCATGTCATCTTTTTGATTTTTTTTAAAAGATTTATTTATTCATACAGAACTGGGGTACAGGCCAGAGAGGCGGAGGGTGAGAGGCTTCACCAGAGACAGAGTGGGGAGCAGAACAGGCAGATCGATGAAGTACACTGCTGAGGGGAGCAGCGGGCGGGCCAGGAGAGGTCTGCCACGCCATGTGGTCACCTCCGGGGCAGGCGGGAATCGAACTCATGCGGAAGTGGCTTTAGCTTCTTAGTGCTGTGCTTTAACCCGCTGCACCACCAGGGAGGGGCATCTTTTTGATTTTTAATAGCCTTATCTCTAAAGTGGAGATAACAGCCACCCAAGCTATAGAAGGAACAGGACAGTGTTGAAGCACTGTAAGATCATTGTGATTACAGGCACCAGGCTGCAGAAACTACCTCCCCTCTGTGCTCAGCTTGTGCAACAGGGCCCTGTGTGGTAGAGAGCCAGGTGGGCCATTAAACTCTCTGAGCCCCACCCCACCAGCAAGCTGAGTGGAACATGATAGCTGATCTGACTTTCGTCTGACTCCAATTGGAGTCTGTGACTTCTCTTTTCCTGCCTCTAATCAAGACCTGAAACCACTGTGAGGGAATGGGAAGGCATACTTCAGCATCCTAAACCACACTGGGGGAAGGTGAAAATTTTGTTGCGATAGAACAAATCTAGAGAAAAGTTAATGTTGCAAATCACAGACATACAACTTGAATTTTTCCTAAGGTGTCAGACTGTATAATTAGCTCTCAGTTTAAAAAACAGAATGTTCCAAAGCAATAATTCAAAGTGAGAAGATTCATTATCAGTTTGGGTTGCTACATGGTCCCCAAAGCCCGTTCATTTTTAGGATTTGGGATTGTGTGGTTTCAGGGCAAGAATGTGGTGTGAAGTGGTTCTTGTGAAAGCTGTTAGTATTACAGTTGGCAAGCTGGAAATGGGCTTCTGAATGCAACCGCTATGAGATCTGGGTGAATTCTCCTGCCCAAGACACTGTCAGGAAGTTGGATTAATTTGAAAGCTCAGGTGGTCATGAGGCATTATCTTAAAGATAAACTGTCAAAGATAAACATTTACCAAGTCAGAACATTCAGGCATTAAATAGGTCAAAGTTCAGTGGTGGGCGCCCATTCCTATCAGCTGAATCAAAGTGTTTTGAAGTACATATGATTTCATTTGAAGTCCAAGTGCTGTGCAGTACTTCCCACCATCTTAATCTTCACTTTATTGGGGTGGACTTCGTTTTGGTACTAAGCAAGCAGTGAGAATGATCTACATTTTGCAGTTCTCGATTCTGGGCCTTGAAGAGCACTCTAAGACAGCCTGCTTGCAGCAGGAATATTCTTTTTCAAGGGTCCAGGTCCACATTAAAATTGAAACAAGTAGAATTAGCTTCTTCAGTATGGATTCATGCATTATCAAGCATATATGCGCATATTAAAAAAAAAAAGAAAGAAACAGGATATTACTAGCTCTCTAGCGAGCTCGTTCTATTCTCCAGCCTAGCCCATCCAAAGGTAACCGTCATCCTGACTTCATTCTGCATAGGTTAGTTTTAGCTGCTTTGGACTTTACACAAATGAAATACAGACACGCATTCACAGATATCCGGTTTCAGTCTCTCGATGTTTCACATGGAACCATGCCTTTGTTGTAGCCAACATGCAGTTTTTATCCTCATTGTCTACAATTCCATTTTGTGATGACAAACATTGAATGTTTTCCTGTCTGCTATGGCTGAGCAGTTGTGTTGTTTCCAGTTGGCAGCTATGAATACCAGGGCTTCTGGAAACCTCACTGTGTGTGCCCTTCAGCTGGGTACACACCTAGAGGTGGGACTGATGAGTTGTAGCACAGCTGCATGTTCAGGCTTACTAGTTACTAATAGTTTTTCAAAATGCTGTCCTTCCAGCCAGGCAGCCTCATACACAACTTATTGTTCATCTTGTTCATCTATCTGAGATGAACAAGATGCTTCTATTGTTTTCTCTTTAGCCTATTGGTGAATATATTGTTATCACACCATAAGTTCAAGCTGTAGGCTCCCAAAGACTGGCGGTGCTATGTACATCTTCATAGATTCAGCAGCCGTGGCTATCTCATTTGTGGGGCGCCTGTTAACGTCTTTTGTCCATTTCTCTTCCCGGTTGTTTGTTTTGTGTTTTGTCTGGTTTTCTTTCTGGTGGTGATTTTCTGTTGCTTTTTGAAACCCAGTTACTGAGCAAAGTCTCAGACATCCTGCTCTCCACCTACCATAATAGTCATGGTGAAAGGGTTTTAATAGAGCATCCTCTTGATGCTCTATTATTATCCTGATTTCAGAGGAAAATATAGGGACTCAGAGAAACTTAGTAACTGGTCCTAGGTAACAGAGCGGGTTAGCAGCTGAGCCAGGACTGGTCCGAAGGCTGATGCCACAGCCTGTGCTCAGTCTGCACCACCTGCCTCCTCGACCATTGTTCCTGCAGCTTCCCTGGCTCTTGACTAGTTATCAATCTCCTGTTGATAACTTCTATCCCCAGTCCCTGCTTTATTTCTATTCTTACCACTATCTAATATACCACATGATTTTTACTTAGCTGTCCTGTTTATTTTCTTTCTTGTCTTTTAGAATCAAACTGAAAACAAGCTAGAAGTCTTTGTATTTTTTGTCCACCAACATATCCCTGGTGTCTAGACAGCACCTGGCACACAGTCATTTGATAGTTTTTAAACCCTCAGTATACCTAACATATGGGTATCTTAGACATCAGCATTTATTTCCACATATCCTTTGGAGTTGTAGTTTGTAAACTCGATTGTTTCCTCCAGGGTTCCCCGTCTCCTTGCAGTCTCGGGTTCAGCTCTGTCATTTCCTTACCATGTGCATCTTCACATGCACTGCCCAGCACTCGGCCATCAACCAAGGCCAGGTATGGGCATCTGGAATCCTGGGTCTTGGAGGGCAAGTGGCTGGGCTGGGGATACTAAGGAGAGGGAAATGGGGGGCTAAGATCCTGAATCAGTTTCTAAAGAACCATACTCTTCCACACCCAGTTTGACTGGTATGCCTGGGTCCCCAATACCCCATGCTCAATGCGGATGCCCCCACCCACCACCAAAGAAGATGTGACGATGGCCACCCTGATGGGCTCGCTACCTGATATCTGGCAGTCTTATTTTCAAATGACTTTGTCATGGGTCCTGAGCCGGCGTCAGTCAGACATGGTAAGAGGAGACCCAAGAATGCTAGGGGCACTGGTGTTTGGCTGATTGGGAGCGACCATTAAGCCAAGGGGCCGATTAGAGTCCCTGTGTTTTGGAACTAGAAGCTAATTCATCTTTTCTGCTTCAGGTGCCCATGGCGTATCACAAAGAACAATATTTCTCAGACCCTGGGCCCAAGGTTGTTTTAAAACAATTTCAAAGAGATCTGGGCAACTTTGAAAGGGAGATCATGGCCCGCAATGAGCAACTGGAACTTCCCTATGAATACATGAAACCCAGCAGCATAGAGAACAGCATCACTGCCTAAGCCCAAGTCGTCTCACTCTTCAAATACTTTAGGTCACCAATGGAGTGTGAATATTACCCCAGTTCTGTTTTCCTGGATCTCAGTTGTTATAGTTCTATTATTTTTCTCCCCCTGAGTTATAAACTTGAATAGCTTATCCTTTCAGGTTTTCTAGTAGAATGATCTTTAACTTGAACGTTACTTCTATAGCGAAATTAGCTATCTATTCAAGCAGTATTCTCTTCCTCCTGGAAATTTTGCCTTTGCATTTATCACAACGTCATTATATAGCATAGTGATATTATGCTATCATTAATATAAATTATTTTAAAAAATGAATGATGGTACTAATGTTTTAATATAATAGGATGTAGAGGTCAGTCCCATTTTTTCCATCAGAACAATCAGTTATCACAACAGTGTTTCCTCCTAACTTATAATGCAGAAATAAATCAAATTGCAATATATGAATGTAAATAATTCTTGCAATCCTTCTCTTTTCTTCATTTCCTGCCCCTGTGCCACCCTGACATCATTGCTACATAGCCTTCCAGGCTTTGATGGTGCTTTTTTGTAAAAATAATATGGTATTGGTGCCAAAACAGATACATGGACCAAAGGATCAGAATTGAAATTCCAAAAATAAATGCACACATATTCCAGCACCTAATCTACAATAAAACATCTATGACCATAAAGTGGGGCAAGACAGGCTCTTTAATGAATAATACTGGGAAAATAGAGAAGCTATTCAAAAAAATAAAATTGGATTTCTCATGAATACATGTGTTCTACAATATTCACAACAGTGTTATTTACAACAATTAGGACATGGAAGCAGCCTAAATTTCCTTCAACCAGTGAGTGGATCAAAAAGATGTGATATATACAGACCATGGAACATTTTATGCCCATAAGGAAAGATTAAATGCAGCCATTTTCAACAAAATAGAAGGAATTGGAAAAAAATATTCACAGCAAAGCAAGTCAGAACAATAAAAACAAATATTAGATATTGATACAATCCACAATTCAGTAATATGAAACATATTCAAACTACTGGACATCAACAACCTTCCTGAGGGCTAGTTCTGAGATTAAGAGGGAAGGGAAGAGAAGAAAGAAGGAAACACAAGGGATGGTGGTGGAAGAAAATAAATTAAAAGAAAAACAGTCAATGAATACAAATATGTTACAGTCAAAAATATCACTCAGTCGGGCCCTCCCTGGTGG